GGGCGGCTGCTGGGGCTGGGCCTTTCCTTCCAATGCTTCTCTGGTCCCGAAGAGCAGCCGTGACTGGGGTTGTCAGTCGCTGCGTTTGGGGAGGCTCTGACCTGGGATTCCCTGCTCGGCACCCGGGATGCCCCAGGCCACAGTTGCTCTGCCAATAAACACCAACACCCGGGGCACCACGGCTCGGTCTCATTTCTGCCTGTGCCTTTCTCGGAGCCTCCAGAGCGGGCTGGGGAGGGAGGGTTTCTCAGGGTGTTTGCTTTCGTCCCGTGGCACTAACGAGGTGGGGTGGATAACGAGTGCCTGGGCCTGCCCTGCGGCAGCGCTGCCATGTCTGACCCTGGCCGCGCGCAACGCCCGGGGCCGCAGGGCTGAAGGGGCAGCAGTAGCTGGGGAAAGCGTTTGGGGTAAATCTGCTTAAATCTGTCACAGCCACGCATTACTGCCCAATTCTTGGGGGGTAACTGTAGTTTCTTCTTAGCCCTGTTGTAATTTTTCAAAATTACAAGATGACTGCCCCTGCCTGCCGGAGGTCAGAACAGGGAGAACGCACACCAGAGCCTGGGCAGCCCCAAGGCACTTTTAGCATTTACTGGGCTAACACATACATTCTGCTCACGAGGCCGTAACTCCTGATGTCTTGGCTTAGGATTTCTGGCATCACGGGCACAGCTCAGCACTGGCTCCCGCCATCCCAGTATTTCCTGACCCCGACATCATTCCCAGAGAGGTCGATTCCACAGGGAAGAACAATTTCTCTCAGTGGAGAGAAGATGCCCTTGAAAAAAACCACAACAAGACTTTACACTGCAAAATGAAAACTTTCATTGTTTTATTCTTGACTGCAGCTGTTTACAGAAATATAGTTGCGAGTATACAAATGTCCCAATAGAAGCAAAATATTTTTATTTTTTAATATTCAACAAGTTATCACAGGATAGCTAAAAACATAGATGCAAATAAAATATCCCCTCATAGAACAAACTGAAAACACCGGGTATCAGTGCTTTGAAAATCCCAACTACGAAAGCCATATACACAGAAATGCACAAAGGAGTATCTGGTGCTACTTTCACATCGCAGGACAGCGAAGAGGCAGCTCAGCGGTCGAGCGGTGCGCCCCAGGACTGCACGGCAGAAAGATGCTGCTAGGACAGAGGTAGAAAGCTCTGCTCTGAAGGTTTTTTTTGGTGCCTACTCGTTAATAAGGAGCTCAACTGTAATTATTTCAAACCACCTCGTTTCAGCCAAGTGTCCAGAACTTTTTTTTAAAACAAGGCTTTGGGAATCCTGTGGTCTGCTAAGCAGGACACTGGGATGTGTCCCCAACACACAGAGTTGTCGCTCGCCCTCCTTCCAAAGGGAGCTGCCCCCGAGTGCTGCGACCCCCGGGACAGCCCCTGCCGACAGCGGGGCACCCACCCGCGCCGCGGACATGGAGGCCGCTAAAAAGAAGTGGAGGCCACTGAGGCGAGCTGAACCCGGGACCCTTCGCTGAGCTGAACCCAGGAGTGTTTTACCGGGGGCTGCTGGAGCCCCAACGGAGCACGCGCAGAGCGAGCGTCCCGCGGCAAGAGGGCAAATCCTCAGATTCCTCATCCCAACACCCCCAAGTGTCGTCAGACAACTTCATCAACTGTAACAGTGAAAATCACGTCTCTCTGTGCACAGCGGGGATCAGCCCTGCAGGGATGGCTCGAGAGAAAGAACAGGGACGTTTGCTCTCGTTTTTGCTTTGACCACCAGGACGATGAGGTCTGCTGGCACAACCTCATGGCAGAGCGCAGCGCAACGCCGCTGGTTTGGCCTCGTGGTGGACAAAACACGTGCTACGGATTTGATGATCTGGATTTCTGTGAGAGTTTAACTCCTCACGTGCTCTGTAAGAAATCAGTGCAAGTTCCTCCTGGCTACAAACCACGGAGAGCTTTCACCAGCCTTCAAGTTCTAGAGAGCGACTGTTGCAGAAAAACGTCAGTTTAAAAAAAAAAAAAAAGAGGAAAAAAAAAAGTAAAAATTGAAAGATGGCTGCCTTCAGGAGAATAAAGAGAAGAGGAATGACAGATTAAGCTTCACCTTCCTGATCCAAACCAGCCCAGCTGGGCAGCAGCCAGGACCCTTCACTATGCAAAAATGATTGGTAACCCGCGCCGGGCGAGAGCCGTTGGGGTTGGGTCAGCCTCTCCAGAGCTGCCGCCGGTTCCCATGGGCAGGAGCTGCTGGAGACAGAGAAGGGAAAAAGGTGCCTGGGGTAGGATGCCGGTGGGTGCCGCAGTCCCCAGCCCAGCCCGGGGGCAGGCTCCTGGCCACGGCTCTTGCTTGGGCCGTTTTGCCAACGCCAAATCTGCAATTATTAATAAAAACATATAAAAAAATACAAAAGCGTGCAGCTGTTTCCAACTCGTGGGTACTGGTGATGAGCAGAGCAAGTTTCTGGAGCAACGTTGCCAACAGCGCCGCGTGTACAGTACTGAGAGGTGTTTTTACAGCTATCCATGAGTTACTACAAAAACGTCCGTAAATAACCTCGTACTAAGGAAAAGTAATAGCATTTCAGGTTTATAAAAATGTAAATATAACCGTATTCTACGTGTGCGTCTACTATTTATATATAATAGATATAGGATTCCTCTATATACATATATATAACCCTAGAATATACAGGCACTGCCTATTTACAAACCTATACAGACTCGACGAAGAAGAAGCCTCTCTCTCCTCTTGCGCAGCCCCACACTCAGCTAGAGAATTTTACAAGCCCACTTTTACCAGAGTTTCTCTGCTGCTGTGTTCTTCCTTCCCTCGAACCACCGTCTGTCCTGTCCCTGACAGCGACCCCTCCACACTTGGGCACGGACTGGTTGTGGCTCAGGGGACCCCGGGAGAACTGGTCTGAACAGGGGCGCGGAGCGCTCACGACTGATCGCGAAAGACGACTCCAGTTGGAAATGAAAGCCCCCAAACACACCAAAGCATCTCACTACTAGTTTCCTTGTAGAAAATAACGGCGCTGCCGCCAGTCATCTGGAACGCAAACCTCGCCTGCTGTCTGGAGATAAATCGCGTGCTGATGGGAAGTCACCAGCGATCGGTGTTTCTTCTTCTCACCTTCCTCCCGCAGCTTAAAGCTCACAAAGGCACTCCTCCTCCTCCTCCTCCTTCTGCCTCTGCCGCTCGGATAAACGCCCGCACCCCCTCGTGCTCTTCTCCTGCGATTACCCCCAACAGGTAACCCGGTTCTGCCGCTGTCTGGAGATAAATCGCGTGCTGATGGGAAGTCACCAGCGATCGGTGTTTCTTCTTCTCACCTTCCTCCCGCAGCTTAAAGCTCACAAAGGCACTCCTCCTCCTCCTCCTCCTTCTGCCTCTGCCGCTCGGATAAACGCCCGCACCCCCTCGTGCTCTTCTCCTGCGATTACCCCCAACAGGTAACCCGGTTCTGCCACCAAGGCACAAGGTTAAAAAGCCGGCAGTAAAACTCCTTTTCTAACGTTCCCAATGCACGCGCATGGGCGTACCCCTGGGGGAAGCTTTGCGTAGCTGATTTCATCCAGTAACACCTTTTGGGGGGTTTGCTTTTTAGTAAATCATCTTCCCTGCTACCAAACAGCAATTTAAACTATCCTTTGTGACAAACGCAAGCGTCTGACTTGTGTGGCGTTCTTTATGAAGGCTCGTGAAAGGTAACAGGAGTAGAAAATCTGTCCAGATGAGTTCTCTTTGGAAACTAGATGCTAAATCAAAATGACAACAGAAGCTTTAAAAAAAAAATAATAATTCAACTTATCTAAATTAGGGGAATGTCCACTGATAGAGCTGCCCAGACTCTTGGGATTTCCAGTAAAAAAATCTGCCAAAGTTACAAACGCTTAACTGCTCGTGCTTTATTCTATCTTAAAACCACGTAGGAAGTAACCACCCTGCCAGTAATTACTGAAACGATCGGCGATTAAACATCCACTTTGAAAGAGCGAGGCTGATATTACTTCTTGAACTACTTTTACGTTAAAACAACAGCAAAGCATTCGGCTGGAACAACCGCTGAAAGACCAGGCAGCGAAGAGGCAATTAGTAACAAAACGTGGACTTGCTAACTGAGCACAAAGCACCAACAACTTCCTGCCAGAGGAGATGTTCAGCTAACGACCGAGTATCACGTGTTATTCCTACAATTTCTGAGATAGATATATATATATAAATACACACACACAGAGCGTACAAGCGGACAGGAGCACGTATGCGGCGCCAGGGCCGGTGGCCAGCAGGTCCCTCTCCCTGGGCTTTCGGCGGTGCGGACAGACCCCCAGGGCCGGACACAGCCCCCCCAGGGGGGGTTCGGGTTAGTGACGCTCTGCAGAGCAAGCTCAAGCAGCAGAAAAATCAAGATACGGAAAGCCCAGCCCTGCGCCGCAGCTCTGCAGTTCATTTTTCACCCAGTAGCCTCTTCTACGCTTAACGGCTGCTCTGGGGGTAACGCAGTAACGGCCCCTTTATAGTAACATCAGGAACTTGAACCTCAGAGGGACTAATACCTCAGCAGCTTCTTGCTTTTTCAACCACAATGGCCTAGACACAACAGGACCGCAGGCGGGGATCAGCCAAACCGACAGAGCAAGCTCCAACCATCGACCGCTTAAATTACAGCGATGGACGCTCGGGACTCTGAGAAATACAGATGCGGCTCACACTGCTCCTGCGTCTTTCTGCCATGAAATCCTGCAGCCTGGCTCCAGCGCTTGACGGGCTTCGAGCCGCTGCAGCAGCTGTTTGCGAGCTCCGGCACCGATCAACCGCTGAGCAATCTCTTCGTTCAGAAGACAAATACTTTTTGTAACCAAATCACGTGTTCAAAGTGTTGTACATTTAAAACATTGACCTAAAATGAACGAGAGAAATTGAGGACAAGAAAGGTGTTATCCAGAAGTGAAAAATGTGACAGCACAGCCCTTTTTTCTTTTTTAATTTTTTTTTTTTTTAATTTTTTTTTTTTTTAATTTTTTTTTTTCCTCTCGTAAGCGACCTAAAAATAACGGGCCCAATTCCAACATACCCTTGCCCTGGAGCTGTAGCGGTCTTGGTATGAAGTTCTCTTTTGGACACCCATCTTGTCAAACGGAGGATTGGTCCCTGGTGACTTGGCACCGACCGACCGACGGCGCGAGGGGACGCCCCTTCAGAACAGCGCAGCGGGCTGAAGCGGCGCGCGAGGGAATTCATCATTCCTCTTACTTCTTCTGTGCATGAAGGCCCCAGGTGGCACCCGACGGCTCGTCCTGGGACAACGCCACCGGTTCCTTTCCGAGTAACTGGCTCTCGACTTCCACCACCGTCTGGAAGTTGTTTCGGTCTGTAATTGTCAGGCTTCCACGTAGCCTCACCGAGCATTTAGTCAATGCTGCACGACTGCTGTTTTCATGTCATGAACCATAACGGGATTTTGTTAATATTTTTGTCTTAGCAGGAAATTAAAAAAAATAAAAATCACAGAAAGAAAAAAAGCGTGGTTCGGGGTTAAAGCAGCTCTGGACATTACGAAGCAGGGAATTCTTTTTTACTGTGATTAAAATTTTGAAAACAGTTTAGCATAATCATAAATTAAGAGTTAAAACACAGCGGCGCTAATAATAAAATATTAAATAGACAACGATAGTGGATGAAAAGCTGAATGGCTCATTCTGAACGAAACCCCGTGGTTTCACACGTGCTAAACAAACGCCTCCGGGTTTTCCTTACTCGATCGATCACGTTGCTGAGGGACAGACAGAGCGGAACACGCAGCGAAGCTTTCTCATAGCCAGCTGGAACAAGAAAACTGCCCGATGGAATGGCGGGAGATGAACAAGTTATTTATGTTGCAAAAAGTACTTAAATACTCAATAAAGACATAACAAACCCCACCCCACCCCACCGTTATCAGACGCCACGTTGTGGTAGAACATCAGACAAACTCACAAATTTACCACAAAAATGTGTGGCAAAAAGAATATTTTATATATATGTATATATATAAATTTTTTATATTTATGCCAATGTACTCACTCAGTACAAATAGCAAAATAGTATACCATTTCCTAAATACAAAATATAGCTTTCCAAAAAAATGAAACACACATTAGATATAAACCATCCAAAACTTGAACGATTGAAAACTGTATTCAAAATTAAATGACCCAGAGCAGGTCTCTTTCTGAAAAGTTCCCTTCATATCGGCAAGAAGCCTTACTACTGAAAACGTAATTCAATGCCTCTCAATGAGAGAGAGAAAGAGAGAGACAGAAAGAGAAAGTGAACGTTAGGACAGACGACCAACAGGAACATCCGTTAAAACCAACGAAAACTCTACACGGCTCAACTAAGCACACGAGTTAAGGGAAAAAACACGCAGTAAACAGACCAGAGTAACTTAAAAAAAAACATTTACAGGCTACTCCTTACGTAAAATAACCGAAAAAAAATGAAAAATGACGTGATACCAACTACTCTACCAAGGCAGAATCGCCGTACATGGCAGCTGTCGGGCTCTAACCGCGGCAACAGCTTTCTACGTGCGGGAGGAGGAGAAACGCAAACATCGGAAGGAGGCTGTAGTGAGAGATCACAAAACCGTCCGGAGAGTTGGAGCACCCAAAAAAATTCACACGCCTCACGACACAATTGCATGGTCTGGAGTGGGTTGTTTTTACATTCCGTAACATCAGTCGATTCTTGGGTTTCTTTTAAAATCGAGACGTGACAACCGAGGAACTACACTCGGGGACTGTTGGTTTTAAGGGAAAAAAAAAAACAAAAAAAAAAAAACAAAAAACCAAGAAAATCACTTCAAATCTGCAACGAGCTCAATATGCTACAAAGATGCAACAGCTCAGCATGAAGTGAAATTTCCACGAACGCTTGGAAATGATGGAATTTGCCCCCTACTTGGAGTAAAGTCAAGCTGAAGATTTACATCAGGAACAGCTGGAAAAGGGCTGGTTACGGGGCATTACTGAAACGTTTCGAAGGTGGCAGAGAAACTGCTTCCTCCCTCCTCAATCCTTGACTATTAGTCGAAGCTTCTACTGACTAAGCAATTTAACGCCACGGATTCCTAAAAGCTGCTTCTGATCTTCAAAGCCAGCAGGACGTTTGTGTCTTTTTTTGAACAACGCAGTAGGGAACTGAGGGAGAGAGAAGGAAAACCGTGAAAAGACCGAGAGGGAGAAGGTTGGTTTAGGGGCGGCCGATGCAGCTTCACGGAGTTCTAACCCCCACAGTCCGAGCGAGGGCCGGAGAGTTCCTTCCTCGGCCAGGCCAACTGTTCTCCTCAAGCTGAAGGTATTTCAGAGGATAAAAATTTAAGGGCAAAATTTAATGGAAGGCTCCCCTTCATTTCCTCACTTTGCTAGAGCTGCTTAACCCTCGCTCAACCTACAGTTACGTGCGAGAGACACGAGAAACCGTTGCCACGTTCTCAGATGGGAAGCGCCCACCTCTGCTACTCGCAGCAGCCAACAATTCCCTCCCTGCCTGTTTATTACAGTCATCAGGATTTTTTCCTTGCTGCCTACTGCGATTCCCAAATCACAGCGTTAGCTCTCCCGCTCGTGTCCCTTCATGTGCCGACGACTCTGAGTCACAGCTCGGGCCTGGCGGTCGATGTTCCTGCTTCACGAGCTTTTCTAGTCAGAAAAAGGGAGGTGAAGAAGGAAGACGAGGGGAGAGGGAGGGAAAATAAACATGGTAACACGTATTACCTTCTAACAACAATAACAACTGACCAGATATGCTTTAAATTCAAAGAGCACCCCACTGTGGCTGAGGTTTAGGAATCTGGTAACAGTACAATCCCATGCCCTAGTAACACAAAGCATAGCTTCTCAGCATTATTGGCACGACGAATTCCGAATACTATGGGCAGAGCCTTAGGTGCTAGCCGCTGCGACTGGCCACGGGTGTGCTCTTTAGAGAAGAGGGCCACTTTTGGACAGAAGCAATCAGTTCCACACAGCCTAATCCAGAGCCGGAAGGTCTGAGAGGAGCTGGGAAATCATCGCGCTTTTTTTTTTTTTCTTCACGGAATTTCTGAAGGGAAAAACAAGCAAGCACAAACGTTAGGCCCAACTAAGAACAGTCACCCTCTTATGGCAACGCAGCTCCTTCATCTTAGAAGTGTGCGTCACAAGCGATGTGAAACTGTCAGTATCAGAACACAGCACTCTTTCACAGAGCAGGAATATTCTGCTTCCACTCTCTTTTTCCTTTTTTTTTTCTTTTTTGAGGTTTGTAATTTCATATACAAACCAGCTGACATTAGAAAACGAAGCACATCACTTCAGTGACACTGAGGAGGGATGCAGGAGGGCAGCACGGGGAGCTAGGGCCGAGCTACACGCTGCGGACAACATCACATTCCAGAGCCCTCCTGGTTCTCGCCACTCTTTTGTAGTCAGAGCCTCTTTCACCCCTCTGAAAACGGCACCTTCCGAGCGCAGGATGTCTCCTAGTAACGGCTCACGGCGGCAGCTCGTTTGCACAAAGGCTCAGCATGTGGCACGTCTGTCAGAGCCCCCATATCCTACCAAAACTTGTTTTCACACTATGTTATTGTAACCCGAGGAGGGGTGCGACTTCAGAATAGCAGAGCTGCAAGGCATTATTTGCTCAATAAGCCTTAAGTTTTTCACTACAGGCATATTTCCCAACGTTTTTATCTGCCGAGCCGTCAGCGAGCTACTCTCCTTCCTAATAACTGGCCAGACTGGAGGAGCAGATGACAAAACGTACGGCAACTGAACAAGTTCCAGCCTCGGCCGACTGCTTCATACAAATCCTGACCTCTGACTGGTTTTAATAACTCTTCATTCTAGCCCCTGGTGTTATATTCCTAATTCAGCATTACTGGAATTTTAGGTGACCTCTCAGGGCATGGTGATGCACTTCGAAGGAAAGATTTACCAATCAGAAGTACACATGGCCAGAAAGAACCCAGAAACCCAAACACGTTACTTACTTGAATAATTAAAACGAGCCGGCCATGTTGTTCCCCTGGTTTTGCAACGACACAAGCAGATCGTCAATTTTCTCGATATTCTGGTTGGTTGCCATAGCCGAAGGGAGCGGAGGAGTCTCGGAGATCTGCTGGGAGAGCAGCGCCGGCACAGCGGCTTGCCCCTCGCCCTGCGGCTGACCCGGCTGACTCATGGCCATCAGCTCCTCCGGCAAGGCGGCCGGTCCAGAGGTTAGCAGCTGGCCGCAGTCTGTGAAGCAGCAAGCGAAGAACAAAGAACATTGAAATGAGGTTAACACACGCAGTGAATGAGCCGCTTTACATCTACCCATACGGACTCTGAGCTGACATTTTTGGTCCCTGCTCCCGTGGGACACACGCTGCGGGTCAAGGTGTTGCTGCGGGTCAGGGTGTTACGTATCGAACGCACAGACTCTGTGCCACAGGCAAATGCTACTAACCCCCAGGGGACAAACCCTCAGCTGGAAGAAAAACAAAACGCCCAGCCTAAGCGTTGAGCACACCCATCCTTTGTCCTTCTCAATTACGGACATCTCTTGCAGTTCAGGCAAGGTATCCACCAGCTCCTTCTATCAACCCGCAAATCCCATCTCATCCCCGGCCACCAGCGCGGTCTCCAGCTTGGTGGCAAGGCGTGGCTGCTTGTGGCCTCACTGCCACAGAGTTCAGGCAGCAAAGCGTGTGCTCAGGCGTAACCACAAGGCACACAGCTACGCGGTTTTGTCTGCCCTGAGCTTTTACTGCCCCTCTGTTCTGGAGCTCCACAGGTACCTGCAGGAAAGTATCGACATCCCAAAGAACCTGTCGCAGAGGCTAAAGGCAGAAAAGTGCAGGCTTATAAAATGAAAGGGGTTTCCCGTACGCTTTGACGGGCACTTTGCTGAACTACACAGCTTCCAAAATCTTTGCTTTTCTTCAACAACAGTGTGGAGAAAGCCACTGCATAAACCATAGGAACCAAATGCAGCAAGAGAAAGATTAGTGGAGCTCTCTGGAGAGAGCACAACCACCTTTTTCCAACACGTGTGCACATGGATTTTATCTATTATTTATATATGCATTATTAATATTTTTTATATTACGCACACTTATTTCTATATACACACACAATTCTAAGGTGCCTTTGCCACATTTCACTCCTAAGTGTAAGATTACCAGCAGTATTTAAGCTAAGTGTCCTCACATCAAATCAGAGCAGCTTGATGAGTACGTGTGTTCTCACTTGTAGTGCTACATTACTTAATCTAGAACTTCATTTTTATGAGATATCTTAGAGCCGAACAACCACCACCTTGTGGGACTCCAACGAGCAGCTCTTCTAAAGTGTAAACTCAGAAACCAGGCATCTACCACTTATCTAGAACTTCATTTTTATGAGATATCTTAGAGCTGAACAACCACCACCTTGTGAGTCTTCTAAAGCGTAAACTCCGAAATCAGGCATCTACCACTTACTGTTTTGAATGCCAAACAGGAATATTCCCGACGTTTGCTGAGATGAAGCAGGAGAATTCTGCAGCTGGTTGATGGCTCCTCCGGCCGTGTTGTGAAATAAAGACGCTTGTTGCTGGGGAGGAGAAGCGGCCCCTTGCATCCCTGCCATGCTGTTCTGAGAGGAGTACATGGGCGACTGCTGCAGCTCCTGCTGGCTCATGCTGTTCTGCAAGGCAGACATGGAAGCTGAGGAGATGAAGAGGGTGACTTGTTGCTCTTGAGAACTCGGCGACCCTTGGACCAACTGAATCTGGGGCGAGTTGTGGAAGATGGCCGGCTGCTGGGCTTCGGCCTGGTTGGATCCGGGATTCTGAAGAGAAGACACCGTCGTCTGGCTCTGGAATTGCATGGGCTGCTGCTCCTGGTTCATCGGCGCCATGTTAGTCTGCGGATGAAAAATGGACTGGCCCTGCTGCTCCTGATTGGTCACCGGGTTTTGATTCGGATTGAACATCATGTTCTGCTTCTGCGAAGCGATTGTGCTCATGGCGCTCTGGTTACTGAACATCATGTTCTGCTGTTGCTGCTGCTGCTGCTCTTGAGAGGGAGGGCTGCTCTGAATAGCGACGATCGAATGCTGAGGCTGGAAGATGGCTCCTTGTTGGTTCTGAGGGATTGAACTGGACTGGATGGAGCCTAAAGACACTTGAGACTGAAACAAACCCTGCTGAGCAGGCTGGGCCTGGGGCTGCTCTTGGGGAAGCATGGAACTCTGGATATGAGAGATCTGTGTCGGCTGTTGGAAAGAAGCCTGCTGTTCAGTGTTTGTTGCTGTCTGAAGAGGAGAAATGGAATTTGGGCTTGTAAAGAATGACATCTGTTCTTCCTGAGTCGCAGGGTTGCTCATGGAACTCTGGGAAAGGAACATGTTGGCAGACTGCTGGTCTTGAGGAACCGAAGGGCTCTGCAACACACCCATGGCGTTCTGCGAGTGGAACATGGGAGGCTGCAGTTGGTCTGAGGAATTAGTACTGGTCTGGTTGTGGACAATGGAATTTGGACTGTGGAAAAGAGAGCCTTGTGTCTCCTGGGATATATTCTGCGTGTCACCAATAGGGTTCTGAGAGTGAAAAAGCTGAGCCTGAGACTGCTGCATGAAGCTTCCCGACTGAATGGACATGATTTCTCCTCCTTGCTGGAACAGACTCCCTCCTTGCTGCTGAGTTCCACTTGCCTGAACGGTCATCATGTTTTTGGTAGATGAAAAGAGATTGACTTGAGACTGCCCTTCCCCACTATGCTGCATTTGAACCATGGTCTGAAACACGGTACCCTGCATCTGTTTGCCCTGTCCGGAAGCTTCTTCCCCATCTGCAGAACTCGATGCCTGAAACATCGTAGCTCCGTTATTGGAGACCTGCTGCTGAGCC